TTACCGCTGGAGAGGGAAGGAATAGAAAAGGATGGTGGAGGGTTACAGAGGGTTCTTCACTAGTAACTGTAGTGCTGATTTCTTATGTTGTTATTGGGTAAATGGCCGTTCATTGCATTAGTCTATCTACTTTTTTGTATGTCTGAAATATTTCATAATACAAAATAATAAAGCAGGGATTAAAAGACCTTGCCAAAAGAGTCCATTCATTAATTTATAGAAATAATTGTTCATTGAACATACCCTATGTGCTCAATGCTGGAGATACAATAGCAAACAATATGGACACAGGGCCACCATCTCCAAAGCTCATGGTCATGTGAGGGACACAGGTATCAGTAAAATAATCAGAGGAATGAAAATATAACTTAAACTAAAATAGGTGCTCTGGTCTCCAGGAAGGAGACTGGGATAGCTTTCTATAGGTAATCTAACATGCCCAAGAGGAACAGCCTAAAGATGCTGACATTGGGAGTTGCCCAACAAACACCCCAGCTGGACCATTCTACAGTAAAGCTCAGAGTCACAATTCTCACCTACCCAGAGGCATGAGCAGACCACCATGGATTCTGAAACATCTGAGCAAAGTCTGTAACATGAAAGATAGAGACCATAATGCCCACTTACATGCATGCATGCATACATACATAAAATAACTGGGAACAGTGACCTACAAGCAACATACACTATGCGCAGTGAATAAACTTCCAAAAAAGTACTATAATCCTCAAAAAATACTCTAATCCTCAGAGAGATAAGAAAACGTATTCCATCCACAATACAAGAAACAAATGTTATTTTTTAAAGAAAGGATTGTTTGGAGAGCAAAGAAGAGCTCTTGTGATTTAAAAACATGACAGCATAAAAAAAATGCCACAGAAAGATTGGAAGATCAAATTGAGGGAATAAGCCAGAAAGAAGAGGAAAGAGAAAGAGAAAGTAAAAAATATAGGAAAATTAGAAGACCAGTCCAGAAGGTCCCATATCCAAATAATAATAGAAGCTCTAAAACAATGAATAGAGAAAGTGCTGGGGGGAAATCCTCAATTAAATCATTCAAGACAATTTCTCAGAACTGAAGGACATAAATTTCCACAGTGAAAGGGCCAGAATAAAGGATGGAAAAAGACCCACTCTCCAAGACACACCACTGTGGAATTTTAGAACATTGAGGGGAAAAAAAGAAGATTCTATAGATTTCCAGAGAAAGGGAGGAAAAAAGTCAAAAAGGATTGTACATTAGAATACCATCAGGCTTCCCAACAGCAACAATGCTTGCTAGAAGATAATGAAGGAGTGCCTTGTAAATTATTATTTTTTTTAAGATTTTATTTATTTGACAGAGAGAAAGACAGCCAGAGAGGGAACACAAGCAGGGGGAGTGGGAGAGGGAGAAGCAGGCTTCCCGCCGAGCAGGGAGCCCGATGCGGGGCTCGATCCCAGGACTCCGGGATCACGACCTGAGCCGAAGGCAGACGCTTAATGACTGAGCCACCCAGGCGCCCCTGCCTTGTAAATTATTATCCCAATCTAAGATTCTATACCCAGCCAATGTATCCATCAAGGGTGAGAGCTGAATAATGAGCTAGAGAAATTGTCCTATTGTCGGCAAGGAGTGGAACAGCTCTGGCTGAAACCAATGATACAACTTCAATTCTAACAGAGCATTGGGAGGAAACTCTACCCAAGTGATAACACTCAAAGATTTGATAAATTGGGATTCATCCACCCACTATACTTCAATGTCACTTATGGACCAGATACATGGTGCTGGGAACACAAACAGTAATTTCTCTTGGGAATCTAGATGTCATTTGACTTCCCTGTGCCTTACTTTCTCCACTTATAAAATGGATCTGATGCTCATCTATGTTGAGTCACAAAGATTATGGAAAGGACGAGAGGATAAGAGATGAGTAATTTCAGCTCCTCAACAAGAATATGATGAACAAATATGAATCCAATTCGTTCTTTGTGCAACTCTACGACAGGCACTGACTTTTGCCTGCCCAGCAAATATTCTATTCCATTCCACCTCCCATTCCAACTTCAAGGTTTGGGGGTTTCTTTTTAAGTTATTTATCTGAGAGAGAAAGAAAGAGAGTGAGAGAGCCGATAAATAAATTGTGGTATATCCATTCAGTGAAATACTATTAGACAATGAAAAGGAATGAATTGTTGAAACACAGCACAACATGGATAAACTTCAAAATAATTACGCTGTGTGAAACAACTCAGAAGAGAACATACTATGTACTTTCACTTATATAAAATTCTAGAAAATTACAACTAATCTAGAGTGACAGAAAACAGATTGGTGGTTGTTTGTGGTTGGGGAGGCTAGTGGAGTGGAGGCTGGAGAATTGTGGAAGGGTAAGATGGAGGAGTCAGAAGAGCACATGAGGAAATGTTTGGTGGTGGTGTATACATTCATGACCTTGATAGTAATGATAGCTTCACAGGTGTATAAATATGTGAAACAAAATCAAAGTATATACCTTAAATATGTGCAGTTTATTTTATATCAAATTTTCATCAATAAAGCTGTTTTAATAAATACGAGATGCTAGAGACAGTGAGTGGTGCCTTCAATATTTTAAAGAAGAATTATTTACAATCCAGAGTTCTGTAACTAGCTAAACTATTAATTTTATTCTAGTGGAAGAAACAAATAATAAATAATTGCACAGTGATTTAAAATCAATTGTGATAGGGGCACCTAGGTGGCTCAGTTGTTAAGCGGCTGCCTTTGGCTCAGGTCATGATCCCAGGGTCCTGGGATCGAGCCCAGCATCGGGCTCCCTGCTCAGCAGGAAGCCTGCTTCTCCCTCTCCTACTCCCCCTGCTTGTGTTCCTGCTCTCACTGTCTCTCTCTCTCTGTCAAATAAACAAATACAATCCTAAAATCAATTGTGATAAATGTTAAGATGATGAAGTCCGGTTCGTTAGTAGAACACATAACAGTGGACTTGACCAGGTGTGGGTCACCTTCCTCTTCTGTGCCCTTAGAAATGAGTGAGTTACCCAGTTATTCAACCAGTAAGAGGGGGAGAATCAGAACCTTGTCTTCCTACTTACGCAGTCTGTGGTCTTTGGAATATGCCTTTAAGTTTGGGCCAATAACCTTGTTTTCACTATTCATACTCATAGGGAGAGCCAGCTAGAATTTGGATTAATTAACATACCTCTGATTTTAAAAAATATTCATAACACAAATGTCATGATATTAGGTCAGTAGAATCATCCCCATTCCTGAAGGTTGATGCCATACCCTTGAGTTTTACAAACATAGCAAAATTAAAACAGAACACACCCATGATGGACCACAAATAGGTGTGTTGACATGTGTTGGTCCTGCCTCATGACAGCCCTTCACCAGAAACTGGAACACAGCCAACTATGTGCTTTCCTACATGGGTTGAAACATTTTGTCTGAAAGTGATAATCTTCAATGTTACAGTTTTGCCAAATTCTTTTATTTTACCATACCCTAAGAATTATTCCAATTTGGCATTATTCAATTCAAAATAAGTTTTCTTTGCAGCTATGTGCCAAATTTTAGGGAACAGAGAAAAATAAGACCCAGTCTCTGTCCTAGAGGAACTCACAGTCTGGTAGTGAAGTCATTAACAAATGAAGAACTACTCTTTGATTATTGGCCAGTTATTCTCCACACTTCTTTCCAAAACCCAAAGCTCTCCTAGCATGCTGACACAGAGGATCATCAAAGAAAATCATAGTATATTTTACTTCTTAATTTCCTTTTTATTTATTTTTAAAGATTTTATTATAAAGGGGCAGGGGCAGAGGGATTGGGAGAGAAAATCTAAGCGGACTCCATGCTGAGCGCAGCGCCCAAGACTGAGCTCAGTCTCACGACCCTGAGACCAGACCTGAGCCAAAAACAGAGTCTGATGCTCAACCCACCACGCCACCCAGGCACTCCTTAATTTCCTTTCTAGTGCTTATCTTCCTTCCTAACTTCAAGAGGGGCATAAAATGCTTGACACGATTCTCCATTAAAATCCAGCTCCTTGGCACAACAGGACTTGGGAAATATTAATCGTGAGGGCAATCTTGTTAATCAAAAGATGGGAGCCCCAACTTGGACCTGCCACTAACAATATGTGTGTCAAAGTCCCAAAGCCTTGGTTTCTTTTCTGGGGGTTTTGTTTGCTCATTTGTAAGATTCACCTCAAAAACTCAAGTGTGTTCCAGCGCTAAGATTCCTTCCCTTGCTTTGCAGTATCTATACCTAGCTAGTACCATTAAGAAAAATTTACTTAAGCATTCCAAGAAGGCACCTTGCAGTAGGGTTTTGACTCAGCAGCATGGAAGCAACGATGGTCCTGTTCTATTTTCTGTTTCCCCAGAGTCCCAAGGTTTGAGAAAGCGTGTGTAAGAGGACTTTCCATTGGGAGCGTCCTTCCAGAGCTGTGTCGCCAGGCAACCCCAGGTGTGGCTTAACCCATCCTCCGTGCAATCTAAAGAACTCCGGCCCGGTTCTCTCTGCAAACGTTGGGGAAACTGACATTTTGTGGTGCTGCCCCTTGCCCTCTAGCCTCCCTCGGTCCTCACGGTGCCATTTCAAAGAGCTCAATCCCAGTAGTCTAAATCAACGGCCATTCCTGGGAGGGGCTGCCAGGGTCAGGTTTTTGGTGAACCAAGACTGCTTGGTGCTGTCTTGGGAAAGCTACACCACTCCTCCCTGGGTTTCAAACAGCCGACAGCCGGACACCTCGGGCCACATCCGAGCCTTAGGGCCTTTTGCGACATCATCCACGGGCCCGGCCCAGATCTGGTCTGGGAACAGATACCTGTTCTCGGAGGCCGGACAGCTACCTCCCACCCTGGACACGCCCACGCGCCCGCGGCCCCGCCCCCACTTCCGGCCGGACCGTGATCACGTGCCCTGACCCCGCCCCCACAGGCTCGGCTCCTCTGGCGTCTAGCGTCCCGGCTTCCCTTCCGCCGGAAGTGGGGCGACTTTCCCTTTCCGGCTACGGGTCCCCAAGCGGAGCTGGAGGCCGGACTGGGGAGCCGAGCGGCGGCGGCGGCGGCGGCGGCGGCGGCGGCGGCGGGGGCGGTAATGGCGGAGCTGGTGCAGGGGCAGAGCGCTCCGGTGGGGATGAAAGCCGAGGGCTTCGTGGACGCCCTGCACCGGGTCCGGCAGGTACGGGCGCGGCCGGCTGGCGGGAGCACGGGAGCCCGAGGCGGGGCCGGGCCCGATGGGGAGGAGGGGGTCGGGCCTGGGGACGGGAGGCAGCCTGGGCTGACGCCTCAGCCGGGCTCGGCCTTTTCTTGGGGCTTCTGTAGCCGGAGGAGCCGAGGGATGAGGCGCCACCGCGAGGCCCAGGCCCAGCCTGTCGGGCGGCTCTCCTAGGCGCAGCCGCTGGGAGAAGGTTTGCCTGGGTCGGTTGGCCCCACCGCGCCCCCACGCCCGGGCTGGACCTGCAGGGCATCCAGCGTGGGCTTCTGAGGTTCGCGGGGCGGGGGGGGGGGGGCTGGGGAGCTCACGGTGAGGACCCGGGTGTAGACAGAAAGCGGCCGTCTCAGGCCCTTTAGCTTCTTAAAACTTGGAAAACATCGTCTTCGGACTTCCTGTATTCGGAGGGTGGAGTGGCAGGAATTCGAGGGTATTTTACTTTTGAAGTTACTCTTGGAGAGAGGAGAGAGGAAGATGTTAAATAGGTGTGGGTGGACCACAAGACGTAGAAATCCCTGAGGGACGATAGTTCCTCTCTTGGGGAGAATGTGATAGGGACTCATCCCAGCAGTGACACCTTACCATCTGACAGTGTCGTGCATTTTGCCAGAGTTAAATAAGTTGGGTTTTAAGAGGTTGCAGGCTTCCCTGGAGAATGAATGTGGGACCTGCCAGAAATACTCTGGCTTCTGGCATGGTGCTTAGAGCAGAACATGTCCTTGTATCGTGTGTAAAACTTACAAGTTAGCTCTGACACTTAAACCTTTGCTGCTGAGTGTCTTATACTCATCGTCTCTTCCTATTTAATTGTAGGCGTACTAACTGACACCTTAAAAGTTGGGCTATAACTAATTACTGCTTGATTCCTAACAGAAAGCCACAGGACTCATTGTATTAGAAGAAGGTCTCCACTTGGTCGCTTGAAGATATGGTCTTTACATCTCTTTCCAGTATTCCAGGGGAGGGAACCCTACCTGTTTCCCAGATACTGACTTTTCATTTTAATACTGATGCTCCTGTAGACATTATATTGGATCCCAGAACTTTCCAAACCTGTGGTTCCACCTAAAATTTTATCCAATGACTTGTTGCTTACTGCCTAGGCATCAACCGGTACAATAGTGAGTATCCATCTTACTTAGACTTCAGAGCCAACCAGTGGCTGTAATGGATGAACATGCCATCCAGCTCCCCTTGCACCACCCTGCTTGCCGGCGTGTTTCACTGCTCTCCTCTACAGTCCAGGGTCCTGAACCTTGTTTCTCACTGGCTACTAATATGTAATGGCTTTCGCTTTGTGCTGATTTGTGACAATCACCTGTTGGCCTTCTCTATCCAGGAAGAATTATAGTCACTGCCCTAAAGAGCTCAGATCCTCAGTTTGCAGAAGGCCTGTAGTTGAACATAAAATGAATTTTGAACCATTGAGAAGACTTTCTGCTTCTCTTGAGCCAGTGGTTGAACTCATATTCTTGGACAACCTGCTCAAGAGGGAGGGAGACCCTCTGTTAAATGCTGACCTAATGTGGATTGTTGAAGCAGTGGTGTTTACTACTAGCAAAGAAAACTTCATTGGAAATGTTCCCAGCTCTGAAATGCACCATTGACTGGAGCAGTAATAAGCCCAATGGAGACAGTGCTGTAAGTGTATTACTTCTGAATATTAACAGCTGGAGGTCGATACTATCTCCAAGGATTTGATGGCCTTTAAAAACTAAAGAAAAAAAAAACAGGTTTGTGAGTAATTTTAGGTTTATTTATAGATTTGCATTGGGCAAGAATGGAATATTAGAAATTGAAACTGTTGTATGCTTTATAGTAAAGCTCACCTCAATGGGTCTCATATTGGGGCATTCAGATGATGATGGTTCTACTTCATTGTATACATGGCATGTTGCAGAAATGTGCTTTTTTTCTCTCTAGTAACTGGAAATAAAAGATAAGGTATTTCTGTATTTCAATGATTGCGAAGCTACCCCCCCTCCCCCACAACATGTCCTCATAAACACCAGCAATTGCCTAGAAAGCCCTCATGGGTTTTTTAGGGAGCAATAAGCTGTCTTGTGCTCAGTTTATCTAGAAGATCGTAACAGAGTCTGAATCGAACCTGCTGGGATTTGAACCTGCAGTTTCTAATAAGTCTGGTATGTGGAGCCCAGTACCTAATCCACTAAGCTTCCTGCCTGGCATCTTGAAGACTCCTGCATATCCTTTGGACTCTTTCCAACATAGGGAACCAGTTGTTACTCTTCGTTTCCTCTGAGCATGGTATTCCTAGATCAAAAGGGAGTCTATGGAGATGTCATGTAAAATGTAAAATTTTCCGCAGCAGTGTGAAGTTCAGTGAGTTAATAGTGCTTGGCACAAACGAATAATACAGCCATTCCATAGGGAAGCATACAAGTGTAGAAGTGTGGTCTGATTCAGTCCCACTGATGAAGATTTAAGACTGCTGGGTATTAAAAAAACACGTTCAGTCCTCCAAGTCATTGGCAGGTCAGCAAAAACAAGTTTTTTAAACTCATCGTTTAGAGAGAGCCGGATCCTGTGAAGGGTGGGATGTGGATTCAAAGCCAGACAGGCTAGGCCATCCTGTTCTGCGGCCACAGTGCACTTCTACCCTGACTGTCTAGGTTATCAGAGGACCTCATAGAGATGATGGATAAGTAGGTACAACTCTGTTCTGTTTGGTTTGTTTTTTCTAAAAACAAAAATGTTCCCAGAAAGCCCGTTGCTGGTGGTTCAGCAGCCCCTGTCATGTAGTGCACACATTTGTGTGCTAACAGGACAGTGTAACACCACGGTGTCTTACAGATTCCCAGCAGCCTTCCCCAGGTTGGACCAGCTGTCTGCCAGTCATCACCTAAGTAGAAGGAAGTTCTCTTGCCTAACTGCTAATGCTTTCAGGACTTTAAGCCCCTATTTTGTTCTAGACCCTGTCAGTGCCTCTGTGTTGCACAACTCCGGGGTATTCTTCACATAAATACAGTGTAATGGGTGCCAGTTGGAGTTGGGCATCATGGTGGTTCAGCACCCAAATGATTGTGACCAAGCCCCTTGTGGAATCAATAGGAAGTAACTTTTTGACAGTTCCGTAGGCCTAGAACCTATCCTTCACCAGCACTTTATTTTGGGAAGTGTTCATTGGCATGGGGTCTCAGAATGTCCTTGGTTCTCCATGAATGCCTGCTAGTGCTGCTGTCTCGAGCTTTGAGTCTAAGCAGTAGATGATTTGGCATGTGTGCTGTGTACAACGCACAAAATTGCCTTTACGAGAATGTGCATCCACCATTAAAAGAAAAAGCCTTTGTTCATTGGCTCTTGGTCACTCCCTGAGAGAGACTGCCTTTGCTTCCTTAATACATGATGCTTCTGACTCATGGCAAATGTGCTGAGCACCCCATTGATTTCAGCTCTATGCCACTGAGATTATCTCCTACACACCCAGCTCAAGTAGCTCAGGTCATTGATTCATGAGGGACTAACTCCATTCATTTTTGCTTTCTCAGACATTTGAAGAAAACCAATATTTGCAGGAAATCTAGGAGCTGCTCCTGTATCTTTGCTTTGATAGGACCCAGTAGAGTGCTCTGTAAAGAGCAAGTCCTTGTTAAAGGGTTTTGCTGATGTGACTGAGCCCATTTGGGTCACTGCTTTCATGGAAGTATTGAACTTCCTATTCGGTATTGAAAAGTAGATAGTAAATGCACAGTATGTTCCACTGTGTGTTTCTAAGGTTTTTTTCATTTTCATCGGAGACTTCTTTAGCTTTCTTTTAAAATCTGATAGCGCATATGTAGCGTCAGACTTTGGTTTCTCCCGAAGTCCCATTTATTCTGCAGATACAAATTTACCTGGACCAGAGTTCTCAAACCGGTGGCCCATGGGCTGGAGAGGGCTTACAGCAGGCCTGCAGGCGTCCTTTGTTTAACCCACACAATGCCAGTTAGAAACTAGAATGATTTCACATAGAAATTGAGATCTCTAGCTTCTCAAGAAAAGGTCTGGCCACACTGCTCCCACATTTTGGAACAGCAATACTCAGCAGGAGCTGATTAGCAGCTGCCCCTTTACACGGGGCATTGGCTTCTGGGTTGCCATTGGGATGCCTAATCAACAGCTTTTTCCCCTTGTCCTTTTCCAAATTGTGAGTCCCTCATCTCTGGTTTTTATTTGAAAGTTCTAATGGAAAGAACGGTGTAGGGAGATTGAGGAGACCTGAGTCTCCTCCTGCAAGTAGCTGTCTGACCTTGGGCTGGGTCGGCCATTCCCACCTCTTGATCTACAGGCTATTCATGGATCTTCCATGGAAAAGGATTCATGGACTGATACGTTTGGGGAATTCAGGGTCAGGTAAAGGTGAATTAGCTTCTTTAATGCAGGACTTCTCAGAACCTTTAATATGCTTGTGTGTATTAAGTCCTATAGGAGTTTGGGATGTGTGTTGTAAATCTGAAGTTATATAATTTCATACTGTCTTTTCATAAAACCAAGTCACATTCTACAGATCAAATTTCAGGAAATGTTGAGCTAGATAATCTCAATAGTTCCTTCAAGCCCTTGAACATTCCGAGCTGTCATCTAGCTGGATCTAGGGAAAAAAAATTGGCCATATCATTTTGGTTCTTTTGCTTTCTATTACGTTATATTGGGTATGTATTCAAACTCCCCTTTCCCCAGCTTTTCTGTGCAATCCTTTTACTCTGTTAAGAGTCCCGTCTCTTGAAAATGTTTTGCATTTAGAGTTTTGTTACAAAGACACCTGGGAAAGAATAGCCAGTACTTCTTTTAGAGGCATAAACTGTACTTTTATCCTCATACCAGCTAATAGCAAATCACTTGCGAAACTGAGTAGTGTTAATAGAAGTAGTGATGTGATTCGGATTGCCTGCCATTATTTGAAGATCTGCTGACTCGAAGGCCTCCTGCCTGGATGCTGGGCCAGCGCAAAGATAAGACAGACGGGT